TTGGGAACTTATCTACTTGAGTTATTTTCTTTTCTTTCTTTCTTGTTTTATTTATTTTCTTTCTTGTTCTTCTGTTTTGTGTAGGAAAACTGAATTGGATTATTCAATCATCAATCCCTGTGGAATCGACCTCGCACTTACATATGTTATACTACCGAACGGCTCGTGCACTTGCGAGTATCACAAGTTGAAGATGCAGCTGAATCCATTTTGGTGCAGCTGAATTGACGCAACATTTCTCAGCCAAACCTACCTCTCTCTCAGCCTTCCTCTCTCTCATCCTCTCTGACAGAAGCTCTGTCCGTGCCAATCCTCTCTGCGTAAAACCTCCTCTCAAGCAAACCTCTCTGTCAACCGCGCCTCTGTCATCCAACACCTCTCTCAGCCTCCGCTTCTCTCAAAGCCGCCACTTCTCTCTGTCGCCGCCATCACAGGTCAGATTGTCTCTTTTTTTCTTTTTCTTTTTCTTTTTCCCCCTTTGAATCTCTGGCTAACTCTATCTATGTGCAATTTGCAGATTCAGCACAACAGTCCGCAGCCACCTCTTCATTTTATTTACCTCTCTTTCTCAATGTCAGGTATGATTCACCTCTTCATTTTATTTAACTGTATCTGATTATTATGCTGCCAAGTTTAGTTTAGTTCTTAGCTTTGTTATTGTCTGCTGTTTGCACAGAGGGTTTTTCAAATTGATTTAGGGTTGTGGTTCAAATTGATTTAGGATTATATGGGTTTTACAAAGGGATGGGAACAAAAATAGTACAAAGTGTACTTGCGGCTGCTGTTCTGTTCATGATTAAGGAAGAGCTTGTTAAGGGTGCTCGGTTCTTGCTCACTAACAAAGGGTGCTCAGGAACAAATTTTTGTTTTTGTTTTCAAATTGGAAATTGCTATTAGTACTTACAATGCTTATGTGAATAAGACGATAATTTCAAACATCTATGAAATTAAGTTATATATACCAAAATTGTACTGATATGTTCAACTGATATTCTTGGTAGGAACAAAAATTCAATTTGTTTGCGAGATTGAATATGAAATTGTTCATTTTTCTGAAACTTCCAAGATGTAATGTTACATCTTGCTTTAGTACAATTCATTGATTTAGGAAATTGAATTGGCAGCAGTTCGTGCAGATCAGCAGGAAATTTCTGGAGCAGTTTGCAGCTTCCAGCAGCAGTTCTGCCACTCTCTGAGGTATTCTTCATTTCTCTCCCAAGTTCATGTTATAAAGAAGAGTTCCTGTTTGTATACACTTCTGGTCAGATTTCAGGGTCTTCATTTGCTAATATTTGCCTTGTGTTGTGAATAGATTAATCTATAGAGAATTATGAATTTGGGTTCTGCCACTTGAGGATGTATATATACAGGTTTTAACTCTTAGACTGTTTTGTTCTTATAATTTAGAAGAATACAAGTTGAAGAGAATATTGACAACAATTTATTTTTTAAAGTGTTTTGTTTAGTACATATGATGTACATAGTTATTTTTAGTATATTGACAACAAGTTGAAGAGAATAAATATGATGTACATAGTTATTTTATTTTACTTAAAGTGTTTTGTTTTGTTTAGTTCGATTGTATAATGTTTAAGTTTTTGTTTTTTTTAATTGAGGTATTGTTTTTAGTTAATATCATGTTTAAATTAGCATGAAATTAGTATTAATGTTGAAGATTTTGTTTTGTTTTGTCTAGTTGGATTGATAATGTTTAAGTTTCTGTTTTTTTTTTTATAATTTTAATTTTTAAAATTGAGGTGCTGTTTTTGGTTAATATCATGTTTAAGTTGCTGTTTTTTGTTTCTTAAAGAAATTATGAATGAGTCGAACTCATTTGGAGAGGTGCATGCCACTACTAATAGTGAAGTTGGTTCGTCATCCGCATCCGTATCCACATCTTCATCCGCATCCGCATCTGCATCAACACCTTTACCCGATTTATCCATCCCTCAAACACCAACTCAAAATACACCTTATGCCTAAACACCACCTCAACCTAGCGGTCTTCCACCATTACCTCATTCCGTCCAAGAAGAGAAAAATCGGAAGTATGGGATCACTTTGAGAGATATGAAGATGTGGTTGAGAGTGTGAAGGAGGATGGGAGCAAATATGCAACCACTGAGAAGAGAGCTAGGTGCAAGTATTGCACTATGAGCTATGCGGCAGACTCTACTAGAAATGGGACCTCAAAATTGAGGAAGCATATTGAAAACCTAGAACATGGGGTCCTTATATCAACAGTGCATGGTAAAGAAGAGTGGTTAAAGGCATGTGTATAGATGGTAGTAATGGATGAGATGTCGTTTAGTGTGGTTGAAGGAAAAGGGTTTAGGCGGTTTTGTAATTCTTTGAACCCCCATTTCCAAGTACCATCTCGTAGGACACTTGTGAGGCATTTCATGGTAATGTATGATGCCATGAAACAAAAATTGAAAGAAGAATTAGCACCACATAGAGTATGCCTCACAACAGACACTTGGACAAGTGTTCAAAACATAAATTACATGGTCATCACGGCACACTTCATAGATGGTGATTGGAACTTGCACAAAAGAATCTTGAACTTTTGTGTCATTTCCAATCACAAGGGTAACTCAATTGGTAAACTCCTCGAGTCATGTTTGCTTGATTGAGATATGAAGAAAATACTAACCATCACGGCCGATAATGCTTCTTCAAACACAAAGGCCATAGATTACTTGAAGTCGAAAATGGGTCATTGGGGAAATGGAAGTCTTGTATTAGAGGGAAAGTATATGCACATTAGGTGTTGTGCTCATATTGTGAATTTGATAGTTCGTGATGGGTTGAAAAAGTTGGAAAAAAGCATATTGTGTATAAGAAATGCGGTGAAGTATGTAAGATCTTCTCCCAAAAGGTTAGAGGACTTTAAGAGTTGTGTTAAGAAAGAGCAAATTGAATGCAAAGGGCTTGTGGTGTTAGATGTGCCAACTAGGTGGAATTCCACATATATGATGTTGGAAGCCGCCTTAAAGTTTGAAAAAGCCTTTTGGAGAATGGGAGAAGATGATGAAGGCCCGTATATTTCTTGGTTTGGTGAAGATGAACCGGATCTCGAAGATGGGGTGGTTATGTCTCATTACTTTAGAAAGAGGGAAGGGCCACCAACTAATGAGGATTGGAACAATGCTCGTAACTTTGTGAATTTTTTAAAGGTATTTAATGATGCTACATTTAAGATGATTGTCACTTGACCCTCAATACAAATTGGGGAACTTGAAGTTTATCTTGAAGAGCCGGTTTGAAAATTCAGAAGATGCGGTTAAGAAGAAGAATGAGATCAAAGAGATTTTAAAGAAGCTTTATGAAGAGTATGACATGCCGCCGCCACCACCACCACCAGCTACTCAAAGTAGTAGTTATTGTTTTAGTGATACTACTATACAAGTAGTAGCCTAAGCCGAGGGGGAAAGAAACGAAGGCAAATGACTGAAAATTAGAGAAAAGAGACTCGAGCAAATGATGTTGTGGTATTGGAGCATGAGATTGATAGGTACATCACCGACCTTATTGAAGATGTGGGTGACGAATTTGATGTTTTGAAGTGGTGGAAATTGAATGGGGTTAAGTATTCGGGGTTGCCACTTATTGCAAAGGATGTGCTTGCCATCCCGGTATCAACGGTGGCTTCGAAATCATGTTTTAGCACGGGTGGTCGGGTAGTTAATTCATTTCGTGCTTCTTTGACTCCTAAGATTGTGGAGGCTTTAATTTGCTCTCAAAATTGGTTAAGGTCGGATGACATATCCTCTTTACAATATGAGTCAATAATTCAAGAGATGGAGTTCTATGAATCGATTGAATTAGGTATGTCTTTGTAATTTTATGTGCTTTATTAATGTATTATATAATATGTATGTTTGACTAATGTTTTAATGTGTTTATGTTTTTTTATATAGATATTATGAGTTCATCCACACCTAGCACCACAGCTCCAGCTACTTTTCAATGTTAAGAGGAATTTAATGAAGTTGGATTGAATTTGGATTGTAATATATAATTGGATTGAATTTTGGTTGTATTTGGCTTGTAATTTATTTTGGAACTTAATTTGTTGAAGTTTGATTGAATTTGGATTGTAATTTATATGTTGAAGTTGGATTGAATTTGGATTGTATTTTTGCTGAAGTTGGATTCATTTTGATATGTTGAAAGCTTGTTGGAACCTCGAATTTGGGTTATGTTAGTATAAAAATACATTTTGGGCAGGTCTGTAAAAAAATAAAATAAAAATAAAAAATTGGGCCCATGCCCAAACCAGAACCTGACAGATTCGGGTTGATTCTGATTTTTGTATGGATTTTAAGCAGAACCGGTCCAAACTGAACCGGTTTGCATTTTCGGTTCAGATTCCATTTTTAACAAAAACCGGTCCAAACCGGACCGTGCCATGCCTACAAAACAATAAAGTGAGCATTGTCAAATTATATATACAAACAGATTGCAAAAAGCCATTAATCAACTACATTTCAGATGCCTGCAACAGTGTTTCAACAGATTTACAAAAACAAAAAAATGATACAAATGGTGTTTTAACATGTAAGTTTGTAGGATCAGTGCCAAAATGTTACAAGTCCACAAATGCACATCTGGACATTCATAGAGAAAATAAACTGACATCGGAAACCATTCTTCATGCATAAATGATCAATTGCCTCCCACCTGCCTCTTCCACGAGTCTTCCACAATCAACTCATCTACTCCCCAATCTTCATAACTGAAAATTTACACACCCAATTAAAATGTCTCAAAAATACATACATGATACTACAAGTTACAAAGAGTTTTGTCCGTGGGCACTTGTGCGAAAGCACAAAAACAATGTTTCCACTAAGTAAAACCAAAGTCAGAACCGCACCTTCCATCAGGCAGATACCGGCGTATGGTGAAGGGTACCTTCCGCTCACGAAGCTCCTTCATAGCAATCTAAGAAATTCAAAATGAATGAGATCATACTAGTGTAGCATATGGGAACAATATTTTATTTTATCATGTTGTGTACTAACAATTGGAGCTCTCACAAGTCGGATTCAATACCATAATTTCCTTTCAACTTAAAGAAACTAGCAATATGTTTTCTTTTATCCGAAGAAAAATTGTCCTCAGCAGAGGATGGAACCCTATTTTTATACAGAAAGGAGGGCAACGAGCTTCTCCCAGTAAGGCAGAAGAAAGCCAAAAGAAGAAAGAGAAAAAAGAAAAAAGAAAAAAGAAAAATGCGGAGCGTACTCATGTACTTTCTTGCAATTTTAAAAGCACATTTGAAAGAGATATATAAATATTACTTCATTAAACAAGAATTTAAAATTTCTCTATAACTACTATTTGTATGCATTGCACTACTTGTGCTATTATTTGGATCATCCACACATACTCACAAGTTATAACACAAAATTTATGGTCTTCTTTTTGCCAGTGACACCATTTCTGGTCTTAATCGCATTATGCACCACACTAGCTATTCTGATACAATTGCACTATAAGTTTCTGCTCTTGTTCACTTTTACCTCCTATTCAAATTATATAAAGGAGTGCTTACAAAGAAGTATGGAAGAAGACAATAACTAAAACAAAATCCTATATGCAAGCACTTGTTTTGTGCATGTCATAGTAAAAGCAGCAGCACAGTAACATAGTCAAATTAATTGGTAGCTGGAAGCTTAATGGGTAGACCTAAAAGAAAACAATTCAGCTACCAATATATGCAAGCAAAGCAATAGCAGTAAAATGTACTTGGCTTCTTACCTCAAGTGGATCAGTCTCACCCTGCAACTCAACCATCACAGGCGCATTCATGCTGCTCATTCCAAACATTAAATTTGTAATGGGTTAGAGCCAAAATTAATTTATCAACAAAATTTTAGACTGAAAAATTGAATTTGATACCAAAAAGAAATTTCAATTTAATTGAATTCAAAGTTCAAATACCTGATCTGCACAGCACGGGTACCCAAGATTCTGGCACGTTCATATTTGGTCATAAATTTGGATGTTCTCCGAGGCCGTTCCACGGGTGCTTGTTCTTCTTTGTCATCAGCTTCAACGGCTTCTCCTGGAAGATCATCATTATTTGCGTTCTCTACATCTTCCTCCTCTGCACCTTCCTGTACATTATTCAATTATTCTTCAGTAAATTTATTTATCTCATAAAAATACAAACAACCATTCTATTCCATTCTTATCAGAGATTTAGACAACCATAAAACCCAAAAGTAAAAGAAGTAACAAAATGCTTACTTCAATCTCTGGCTCCACTGGCTCATCCTCATACCTGCATCAACAAGATCTCAGTAAGTTACTTGTTGAGTTATGAGTATCAAATCCATATTAGGCACGAGAGAGAGAGAGAGAGAGAGAGAGAGAGAGAGAACCCCATATCCATTTCGTTGTAATCGTCGTCCGCCATTGTTGATTGGTGAAGAAGCTTTTCCTATGTGCCGCTGAAGAAGAAGAAGAAGAAGAAGAAGGAGCAGCCGCTGTAGATGTGAGTCGAGCAGGCGTCTCTGGAAATTGGAAGCGGGTTCGACCTCGTAACCTGATTATACCAGGACTTTTTATAATATACAGGAATTTTTAACGGTTCAGATTAAACCACATCTCCAATGCTTTAGCTTAACTCTTTAGAGGCCAAAACGACGTCGTAAGGGGTAAAAAGTGAAGTGACCCAACACTTACTTTCTTTATCCCACCTTCCCTTCTTTATGGATTAACGATATTTCAGTCCCTATAAACAGTTTCAAATTCCTTTCACTTTCTCCTCTCTCCTCTCTGAGGCTTTATGCTCTGAGTTTGCAAACCCCAACTACCTACCTACTTGTTTGTAGGACGTCGAGAGCAGAGGAAGCCAAATTCAATCAAAACCTGTCTCTCTCTCTCTCTCTCTCTCCCCACTGTGCATTGCTACAAAGCACCATAAAGATTGAATCTTATCTCGGGTATTTCCTTCTTTGTCAAACTGGATGCATCTTATTGGTTATTGAATCATATTGTTGACTGTGAAATAATACTTAGCTAAAAGAGAGTTATGGCCGGAGAGTCTGTGTCATGAGGCCATGATTGAGAAAATAAGGAATAATAATGTCGGCAAGGTGTTTGAGAAAATGCGTGAGCTGAAAGAAGCACATCTCACTCGATTCGTTTCAGTTATATTGGGAATGGGAATTTTTCAGCATATGCATAGCATGTTTTTTAATTACTCTCTTGGATTGTGATATGAGAAATTTACTTATTGAAAGACCACCTTACCAATTTACTTGGATTTTGAAGTTTGCATGTTGTGTTCTGCGTATGAGAATTGAATAATAATTACATTTTGGCAAATTTTCCTCTAATTTTTGTTCCTAAAAATAAAGGATGGTATTAGTAAAAAGAACTCGATTGTATGTGATATTAGTTACCCACTTCTTCAACGATTATCGTTCAATATCCTCTTCCTAATATCATTGTTTTGATTACCGGATTTATGTCAGCAAATCAATCCATTTGTCGTTCACATTAATTCCTTCCCAAGTCCATGAAAATCCATTTTCATCCTTATCCAAAATCCACTCTTTTAAGTTTAATACATTTGGCCTTATACATTATACATATACTAGTCTGGACAGGATAAGTTTGTAGGATAAGAAAAGAAATTCATTGTTAAGATATGATTTCTAGGTCAATGGTTTATGCCTTCTTTTCTTTTGGGGGAGATTTTGGAATCTAATCTTTAAGGCCCCCATTTCAAACGATAACATACAACCCATTACCCATGCATAGTAAAATCAGAGCGGGCCTGTCACACATTTTAGGTATTATTCTTTCTTACCAAGCTCCTTTTGCAGCTGCTAAACAGAGTAAATAGTGAACGTCCTCAGAAAACCTCAAATCTTTGTAGTTTTGATATGCTTTCACTCACTAGGGTCGGCTCCTTTTTAGAATTGTGCTTCATGCGTATAAAGAAATGCTAAAGTTAAATTCCAATAGAGCTTCATGTAGTTTTGTCATCGTATACAGTTTTCCAATAGAGCTTAATCTTGAGTTTGTGTTCTGATTTGCTGATCGTCATTGTATGTACTCTTGGAAGAGAGCTTTTCTCAAAGTCTGAGCCGAGAAGAAGCCAAGAAAGCAGGGTGTGCTCCTGCCATTGCCAAAGAAAATGATGTGGACATTATTAGTTAGTTTCCTGATTTATTATTTTCCTAGATTCTCTAGTTTTCCAGATTTTACTAGGATTTTAGTTTCCAGATTCTAGTAGGATTTTATTTAAATTTCCTAGTTTATTTGAATTAGTTCCTTGGTGGATTAGGATTTCTGTTTTAGTAAGAGATTTTTATCCTATTGTCTCTAGGTTTTAGTTTGCTATAAATACTCCCTATGTAGTTCTTTAAAATGGAGATTTGCGATATTAAGAAAAGTTTACTTTCCAGAGTTTGGAGACTCCTTGGTGTGAAGCCAAGGTGACTTTTACCACCTATTTTCTGTTTTTCCATTGTTTTCGCTTCCGCTAAATTACCCAAATACTCAATTCACCCATATCCTACATCAGAAAACAATAGGCACATGTGTTCCCTGTGAAAAGCTCCATAGGACGTTTGATGATTTTGTGATCAAAGATAACAAGCTAAAGATGCTTTTTTGATAGGCTTCCATGTATAATCACCATTAGTTGTCCTTTTTCTGTTAAGTTTAGGATTGCTCCTTATAATGCTTCTTTTCTTTGCTATTATTACTATTATCGTTATTGCCTTATTATTTTGGGAGTAACACTTCGGCTGCCACATTTATTCAAATTTTTTGATGACCTTGTGGATAGTTGATGATTTGTATAACTATTACTTTAGCTCTTGTAGGTTTGCTAAGGATATGAAATATTTTATTTCTTAGATACCTTGCAAGAGTGAGTATTAATTTATCATTTAAGCACTATAGGAGAAACTTTTTGGCTCATTATGCAAATATAAGTTAGAGGCCTTGATTTGTAAGGGTTTTGAGGCCTCAGCTGGTTTGTATTGAGTAGTCTGCTGGTTTGTGGAAATCTGCTTCATTTCTTTAGCCTCGAAGCACATTACTTAGGAGCAACCAAAAATCCCACCTCCATTGAAACTACCATTTTCTTCTCTCTGAGATCCCACTCATGAAAAATCTCTCTCTCCACCTTTATCTTAAACCCTGCTCCTACAAGGCACTTTTTCCCCTGAAGACTTTGTTATTTTACCCTACACGAAATGCACTACTCCACATTAGTTTTCAAGAAAAACTAGTTGTGTTCTAAGCTTAACAAGTTCACTCATGAGTATCCTCATCTCAAAAATTACTTACGTTTTTTACTTTTATCACTGTAATTCATTAAATATTATGTGAAATTCATATTTTTAGAGAATATAATATCAAAGGATTTACAAAATATTCAATTTTTTAAACAATCAAAGTATTTGCAGCAATGACCATCACCGAAAACTTTAAAACTCTTCAAAAGACCTAAACTTATTTGTTTGTGAAATAGAAATACGATTAGACTCATAGCTAGTTGGTAACTACATGAGTAGTTAAATAGCAATAACAAATACTTGTTCCTCAAAAGAATATGGTAAGTCATATCTCTTCAATGGTTGTTTCAGTTCGATTTGGGTTACTTTTGAAGGTTTTTTTTTTTTTGGGTAAATACTTTTGAAGTTCTATTTTGGCTACTTTTGAAGTTGTTGATGTACAATTTTTGTTAATGAATTGTTTCTGAATTTTTTTCAATTGTTTCCTTAATTTATCAAGGTGTTCTACCATCCATGGCAGAAGTTTCATCTAAGTAATTGTTTTGAATTTTCATTTTTTTTTTTAATCATAGACAAAAGTTCAAAATTTTCTTTTTTTAACACAAGTTTCCTTAATCTAATATAAATGACTAAAGCTTTTAAATTTTGGGTGATGGGTCTGAAATATGTTTATTTATGTGCCTGAATTTTATTTTAAAAAAATTATAGATAGTTGTAAATCAAACTCTTCTAATTTTTGTCTTGTCATTTTACCTTTTAACTAATCAACTAACCATTACAAGTTCTTCTGTGGTATAATGGCTGCACCGGTGCAGTCAGTCGTGCCTTGGGACAACCGGGGCTTATAGGTATCCGGTTAAAGGAAAAAGAAATTTTTCTTGTTCCAATTCATACACCAGGGCTTGTAAGTATCGATTTGTACAACTGGGCATCTTATTTCAGATTATTTTGGATGTGGGTTTTGAGATTGGGGTTGAATTTGTGAGTTTTATAGGCTATTTAAAACTTAAACTTCACTTGGGCAAGAAATTTCTTCAGCCACACCATCATCACTGTCTGTGTGCCAAAAGCACCAAGCCAAAAGAGGTTGTCTCAAAGTTTCTTGGTGTTTTGCGGCGTTCTAGTTTAGATGTCCTATTTCCTTTTCTCTGATTTAATTGTGGATCTGAATTTCTTTTCTGTCTGATTTTGATTTTGCTTTTTTTTTTTTTTTTTTTCAGGTGTGGATTTGCTTTTACATTGGCAAAAGTATCCTCAATTTGGTCATCACCATGCAACAGGTTTTCAAATTATATGGCCCCTAATTGCAATGCTCTACTTACTCCGATACTTAATTCATAACTGGTCTCTCGACTGAGACTCTGGAGGTTCTATCTTTGTTTTGAAATGATGACTTTGGTGGCCAAAAGTCGCTCAGCATCTTTCCGGTTCTTCTCCTCTCTCCTTCATCTCCCTTCTGTGCAAATCCACCGCTGCTGCTCTTCACTCTCCACCAACCTCCTTCATGACCCAAATGACGATGCAAAACACTCAAATGACGCTGAATTGATATCAAAGATCCTTGTCCACCACCACAACCCCTTCCACACCATGGAGTCTTCTCTGCAGCTCCACGGCATCACTCTCTCTCCTCAGCTGCTCAACCAAACCCTCCTGCGCCTCATCCACAATTCCAAAATTGCCCTCGCCTTCTTCAACTATGCCAAGTCCCTCCCTGACCCTCCTCTCTCCACCGCCTCCTTCAACCTCCTCATTGACATCCTCGCCAAGGTCCGCCAGTACGACGTCGCTTGGCAGCTCATCCTCGAAATGGACAACTTCAAACTCACCCCCACTGCCTCCACATTTCTCATCCTCATTCGGCGGTTGATCTCCTCCGGCCTTACCCGCCAAGCCGTCCGGGCCTTTGAGGACATGGAAACCTTTGTCCAAACCAAACCCAGTAGCCAAGATTTTTGCTTTTTGCTCGATACCCTTTCCAAATACGGCCATGTTAAGGTTGCAGCTGAAGTTTTTAACAAAAAGAAGCATGGGTTTGTGCCTGACGTCAAAATGTACACTGTTTTGGTCTATGGGTGGTGTAAGATTGGTCGTTTTGATATGGCGGAGAGATTCTTGAGGGATATGATTGAGCGCGGTATTGAGCCCAATGTTGTAACTTACAATGTCTTCTTGAATGGTATTTGTAGGCGTGCGAGTTTGCACCCTGAGGAAAGGTTTGAGAGGACAATAAGGAATGCAGAGAAGGTGTTTAAGGAAATGTGGGAGAGAGGGATTGAGCCTGATGTCACTAGTTTTTCAATTGTGCTTCATGTTTATAGTCGGGCACATAAGCCCGAGTTGTCACTTGAAAAGCTGAAGCTGATGAGAGAGAGAGGGATTTGCCCCACTGTGGAAACTTATACTTCAGTTGTAAAGTGTCTTTGTTCATGCGGGAGACTTGAGGATGCAGAGGAATTGCTTGGTAAGATGGTGAGGAGTGGGGTTAGTCCATGTGCAGCGACATACAATTGTTTCTTCAAAGAGTACAGGGGGAGAAAGGACAGCGAGGGTGCTTTGAAGCTGTACAGGAAGATGAAGGAGGAGGGTTTGTGCGTGCTCAGTATGCACACTTATAACATACTGGTGGGAATGCTTTTGGAATTGAATCGTATGGAGATTGTGAGAGAGATATGGAATGATATGAAAGAGAGTGGGGTAGGACCCGATTTGGATTCATATACCATGTTGATTCATGGGTTATGTGGGAAACAAAAGTGGAGAGAGGCTTGCCAGTTGTTTGTAGAGATGATAGAGAAGGGGCTTCTCCCTCAGAAGATTACTTTTGAGACACTTTACAAAGGGCTAATACAATCCGATATGTTGAGAACTTGGAGAAGATTGAAAAAGAAGCTTGATGAAGAGTCTATTTCATTTGGATCAGAGTTTCAAAATTATCACCTTAAGCCATATAGGAGATGATATGCCATCTACTTGCCACTTTAGGATGCAGTGTTTGCATGCGACTTTAGGATTCAGCCAGACATAACTTGGGTGCTACATGTATCATGCTTGCCATAGATGAACAAGCACCCATGGAACAGCCTCGGAGAACATCCAAATTTATGACCAGATATGAATGCCAGAATCTTGGATACCTGCGCTGTGCAGAGCAGGTATTTGAACTTTGAATTGAATTTCATTGAAATTAATATTTCTCTTTTTGGTTTCAATTCACCTTATCAGTCTGAAATTTGGTTGAAAAATCAATTTTGGCTCTGACCCATTACAAATGAGCAGCATGAATGGCCCTGTGATGGTTGAGTTGCAAGGTGAGACTGATCCACTTGAGGTAAAAAGCCAAGTAAATTTTACATCTAGTGCTTGCATATATTGGTAATTGAATTGTTTTCTTTAGGGTCTACCCATTAATTTGACCATGTAATTGTGCTGCTGCTTTTACTATGACATGCTCAAAACAAGTCCTTTATATGATTTGAATAGGACGTAAAAGAGAACAAGAGCAGAAACTTACAGTGCAATTGTATCAGAAAACATAAGTCTTTGATAGCTAGTGTGGTGTGTAATGCGATTAAGACCACAAATGGTGTCACTAGCAAAAAGAAGACCATAAATTTTGTGCTGTAACTTGTGAGTATGTGTGTAGTGTTGTGTAGATTTCAGCTGCACCAAAATGGATTCAGCTGCATCCTCAACTTGTGATACTCGCAAGTGCACGAACCGTTGGTAGTTTAGCGTATGTAAGTGCGAGGTCGATTCCACAGGGATTGGTGATTGAATGATCCAATTCAGTTTTCCTACACAAAACAAAAACAAAAACAAAGAACATGAAAGAAGGAAGAAAATAAGAAAGTAACTCAAGCAAATAAGTTCCCAAGTTCAATTTAGATTAATGGATTGATTCTAGCTAAAGTATGATTAAGCCATGGTGTGTGGTCATAACATTGTGTTCCTAATTCCCTAATTTGATCATTTGTTGTGTAACCTAAAATTAAGCATTAGGAACCCATTAAGCATAGAAGAACATTTTAAACAACCAAGTATGTATCTAATCCCTGTTGTCGAATGTCCATACATACTCTTCCTACTCATAGTTCAATTCGAATTAAAGCATGGTGTATACTCTTAATTCAAACCAAGATAGCTAACATGCAAGCCTAAATGGTGATCAATCATTCAAACTAGCATATTAACTTATAAGCATAATGAATAAGAACAAAAACCATAATTGAAACTTGGAAACTAATCTGCTTGAGTTAGTTATTTCTTTCTTCCTTGTTATATTTATTTCCTTTCTTTTTCATTTCTGTTTTGTATAGGGAAAATGAATTGGATCATTCAATCACCAATCCCTGTGGAATCGACCTCACACTTACATATGCTATACTACCAACGGTTCGTGCACTTGCGAGTATCACAAGTTGAGGATGCAACTGAATCCATTTTGGTGAAGCTGTAT